ACACGCAGGGACAGTGCCAGCACTGCAGTAACCCACGGGATGTGTGCTCAGCCCTGCAGCTCGGGCCAAGGCTGCCTGTTGGTCGGCACAGAGGTGCTGGTGCCCCTCACCTTTCGGAGCCGGCTGTCCCCCGGCGCTGGCGGGCACGGCAAGGCCGTTTCCATGCGGATGGGCTGCTGCTCCCCGTTGCTGTGGCGACGGCGCTGGGCGCCAGCAGGTCGGAGGCGGGAGGGCGAGGATCGAGGATCGTATCTCGGCGGAGCTCACCAAGGGCACTGGGTACATCTAATCCGGCGCTGCTCCATTTTAGGCCTCCCAGGAGCACCGGGGAGGTATCAAATGACCAGCTCAGGGCAGCGAGCAGGCACTCACAGGGATGCTGCACACCGCGAATAAAAACACCCGAAAATCACATCCAACAGCAGCCAGATGGCCCTGGCAGAGCTTCCCTGCCACCTGCCTGGTTCTCACCCCTCCAAGCCCCTGGAGCAAGTGGTCCCACACACCCCAGCTCCAGCAGCCCCAGGGCTGATGTCAGCATTGCCCGTGCACCCTCACCTGCCCCATCCAAGGTGACCAGTCAGGCACTGGGACAGTTGTTGTTATATTTCGTATTTCTAGAGTCCCATACTGCTGTTATTATATTCTTAAAGTCCATGCCTTCTAGCTGGCTTTTCTACCATGCAGTTCTTCTCTGTAGCACAGCTCCTCATGGCTTCCACAGGGCTCTCAGCCCACCCCTTTTTATTCCAGTTCTCTTCACGAGCTACAGCTGCTGCCCAACTAGGGACTTCACAGCTGTAGCTCGTTTGGAGTAACTAGGACCCACTTATCCAATACACAGGACTGACTCTCACTACAGACAGTGACAGTGAGCTCAGCCACCCAACCCTCTCTCTACCCTTCTGCCTCCATACCTGATGCGGTTGCAACACACCTGAATAGAGGAAGGATACTGGCAGAGGGAAGGATGAACTTGTGCAAGAGTAGCTTTCAGATGAACAATTCACTGCCAAAAAACAGGGTTTAGGGAGTCCTCTGGGCAAAGCCAGGGCTGCTCTGGACTACATTTGGCATTTTGCAAAGCTGCTGGGGAGAAGGGAAGAAGACAGCCATGGAAAGTAGAAATAGCATGTTCCTGGCTTTAAAAAGATGAAATTCAAACTAGTTTTGTCATCCACAGAAAATAAACTCTTCCAAAGGAGGAGGTGTCCAATTCATACCTGGACAAAGCAGAATGCAGCAAATGCTGGGGCACTGGTAGTGTTATCTAAGGGCCCTGGGCGTCCATGAGCCATCCCAGCACATTCTTCCATAACTGTCTTAAACTCATTAGTCAAGCGAGGACCCAGATGTTACCAAGATGCTGCAGCACAGCCCTGAGTAGCAGGAACCAAGGGCAATGTGTCACTTTCCAGTTCTCCTCACACACAAGATCACAGCAGTTGGCCACGAAATACCAGTTTCCACATTGCTAGTTTAAAACTGTATTTTTTTTTCCTGGTAAAATAATCCATTTTTTATGGATTATTTTACCAGAAAAGCTTTTATAACCATGTAATAATTCAAGGAAGCACAAGATTCAGGCACATCAAAGACACAGGCTCTGAAACTTGCATAGCAAGGATGAAGCAAACCCACAAAATCCTGTTCAATTGTCCATAGGACATCCATTTGCTCTGCATCAGTACCTATCTGATAAAAGCTCCCAGAAGGACAACAGCTGTGAGAGAGCCACATATCTCATTGCTATGCCTTCACCATCTCTCTGCCCACAGCCCTGAGAGATCCTTGCAGGAAAAGCTGGCAGAAAAGCAGCAAGACAGATCATAAAGAAGAAAAACAAAGGGATTTCTTAAAGCATCAGGAATCTGATTCTTCTAGCTGGGTCAAAATGACCAAGGGAAGAGCTTAATAGATGCAGCACCTGAGCAAAAGGAAGGTCCTTTCAGTACACACAGGGAGCTAAATCAGGGCCAGCCATGAGCACTGGAAGGTTAATTGATAGGAGTCTTTAATAGGGACACATCTTAAACCTATCCAGAGAAATGGGATTTCTCTGCCTTGCTGTCTAATGTCTTTTTTACAAGAAATAATGCAGCTGTCCTGCTTTCACTACTTTTATTTTCTTAAAGCAAAGGCAGCAGAAGTAGTAATAAAAGATGGGATTTTGCTGCCAGTCAAATACAGTTTCCAGCTCAAGCATCTCCTCCTCACTTAGTGCCTATCTGAAAAGCCACAGGCTCAAGAGCTTTCTGGTGTGCTCAAGGTCTGCACAGGAAAGCATCGGAGAAATGGTGGAAAGGTTCAAAGGAAAATCACTTTCATGCTCAAGATGCAGATGGTTAGGAGAACTAACACAAACAGGGATGCTGCAGAGTTCTCAGCCAGATTGCAAAGAGGCAAGGAGCAGCACATCAAAAATCTGAGTGCCTCAGCACAATCCAAAAACAGTGGCCAGGCTGTCCTGCCAAGCAAGGTGTGTTCAGCTTTGTGCTGTTTCAGCTGGGGCAGCTACAGAGGATGGAGCCCTGCTTTCCTGGAGATGGCTAAACAAACACCTGCCAGACCATGTGAAGTGGGAATTAATTCCTTGTTTTGCTTTGCTTGCATGTGGCTTTTGCTTTACCCATTAATCAGTGTTTATCTCAACCCACAAGTCTTCTCACTTTTCTCACCTGTGAGGGAGTGAGCAAGTGGCTCTGTGGGGCTGAGCTGCCAGCTGGGGTTAAACCACAACAAGCTTTCATCCTTTGATCATGCAGAAAATGTCCAAAAGATTAGATAAATGCTGAACATGGAATAAAGGAAGAGTCCCCGAGTACAAGCTAGGCTAGTAATAATATGCAAAGGGAAAAATGTAACCAAGAATTCCTCTCCCAGCATTAGTTCATCTAGACAAGAATCTGAGAAATCTGCAGGAACTACAGAAATGCCTCAGAGGGGAACATTCTTAAGGACACTTGTACTCTAAGTGCCAGGAAGAGGCAGCAAGCTCCCATGGGATATGTCTGCACAGTCCAAGGCCCTGCTCTCTTCTTATCAAAGGAATTCCCATCTATATCATTCAGATTTTTGGAAGACAAAGACAATAAATCAGACTTTTAAAGCAAACTCTGTTTATTCTGGTTTTATCTTGTGTTGCTAACAAATCTTTGCCCTAACCTAGGAAAAATATCAGATAGAAAATATCTCCCCTTTTCTCCCACCCTCCCCACCACACACACTTTTTGTTTCTTAAATAAAAGCATCAAAATTTCAAGCATGAGAGACTTTTCTTTCCATACATTTCTGTAACAAAATTAACTCTGTTGTTGATATAAAATGCAGCAGCCAAGACCACAGGATCTGCTATGCTACTCCAAGGCAATTAGTACCCAGTATGATCAGTTTGTCTGCAAACATAATAAAAAAATACTTAGCACTTATCCAGCACTTTTTATCCATGAATCTCTAAGTGTTTTATAAAAGCTGAAAATATGTTTTTGGCCTCATTTACGGAGAAGAAAACACCAGCTGGAGAAGGAAGAGATTTGCCCCCAGCCTCAGAATTTAATAGCAGAGCTAAGAACAGATCTCTTTCTCAGCCCCAAGTCCAACAATCCATGCCACACTCTCTGCTTTACACAGGGAAGCCTGAATTTGGCAAAAGCCCCTACCACAGAAATGCTGAAGTTTATATTTTTGCCACTGAAAAAAGAGTCTCAATGGAGATCTGACAGCTAATTTAGTAAGCACTGACTTCCTGAGGCTGTGACACCAAGGAGTAAACAGAGTCTCAGATGGAGCAGCTGGAAGCTTAGGGGGGAAAAAAAAGTCTCATACTGAAGTGCGAACAGCTGTGAGAGTGGTGCAGAGGGAGGCAAATCCATGATCTACAGTGTGCAAACCATTCTCCACTTGGAGCTTTAATTGAATGTTTGAGGAACAGATCACAGGATAAAACCCTAAAACCTTGACAAATAGTGTCATTAGATGAGAGGAACCTGCAGCTAAAGCACTGACACCTCCTCTGTTAGCAGTCTCCTGACCCGCCGGCACTCCTGACAGACCTGAGACACCAACAGTGCAAACACCAGGAAAAGAGCAGTGAAATGCAATGTCTTGCCTAGAAATAATGTTTAGCAAGGCCAGGAGAGAAGTACAGTGAGAGGCAGAGAGCGAAGGCTGATTCAAGGACCTCAGGACACCCTTAACTTTGAGGCCCACCACTCATACCATGAGCAGGCACCCACACAGCTCTTCTCCAGTGCATCACCAGCAAAAATTAATGCAACACTCCTCTTCACAGGCATGTGGCCGCAACACATCACCCACAGCTCATTTTGGTCCAATTGAGACACCCACAGGGTCCTTTAATGGAGAGGGTCTCCTGTGTATTAGCACCAATTTTCTATTGCCCCCACTGTACCTCCTAAAGGAATGGGACAAGAACAGGCTCCAGCTTCTGATGGAGCACATGGTGATGCTGGGATGGTTGTGCTGCCTGGCAGCATCATAAACCAGCCCTCATGTAACAACCCCCCAAATGCTGGCCTACAACCAAAAACTCCATTTTTAAGAGAGAAGGGTAGGCCAGCATCCTCACCAGCCCACAGTCACAGGTAATTACACACAGGAGTTTAATTTATCAGCAGCACAAACACTGCCATGGTCCAGCCAACACTGCCATGCTGGCCAGCTGTGCTCTGAAGCCTGGAAACAGCATCTGGGTTCTCACAGAGAACAGTGTATCAAACAGACAGAGGTAAGCAACCTAAGTCAACAAGTTCATCTCCAGACTGCCCACCCACAGCAGCGAACATGAATTCAGGTCTCCACCCTTCTTCCTGGGCAAACCCTGCTCATTTTCTATGCTGGTACTCCCAACACACAGGAGGGTGCCAGCAGCTGGGTGTCCCTCTTCTCAGCAGCAGAACTTGCAGATTAACCGCCATGCTGCAGAAGAGTCCTTCTGACATGACCAAGGAGCTGCTGTTGCTCCCCACACCCTTCCCAGACACCCATCTTCCTCCTGCACCCACTTTCTCATGCTTTGCAGACAGAACCAGCTGCCCTGGCCTGCTGGTGTAACACTATCTCTCACTTAGGAGCTTTTACTAAGGCACAAAGATTAAGTGACTTGCATAAGGGTCAGGAACACACCTCATGCCTCTCAACTGTAGTGATTTCTCACACCTTTTTTTTCCTGACCTCTTGCATATTAAAATGACATGAGCAGATTGTGTGGATGAGAGCAGGATCTCATTTCCCAAGCAATTCTGAAGATACAAACAGGGGTAGCTGTATCCAAGCCCTCCCCACGGCTCCCATCCCTTCCCTCTGTGACAGGTCACCTGTCCAACACGATAGGAGAGCACCAGTGCAGAAGGGAGTGCTCCACAAGTGTGATGCAAAGCTCCATCTCTGCCATCCTAAGACCCACAGCAGGATAGAAAACAGAGGAAAGGAACCTCAGCTACACTTTGTTCATCAACAGGAGCAGGGAAGGACAGTGGGGAGATCTCTGCAGCACAAAGAGTCTCAGAAGAAGCCCTCCCACTCCCATAACTGGGGTGCATCAGCTGATCCACGGCTGAGTGCCCTGATGGGAGCTCCCAGGTGAGGTTTCTTTCCACGAGCGATGGTTTGGTTTCCCAGAAGGTGTGAGTGCCTGCCTTTGGTGCACCAGTGGCAGAGGCCCAGCAGCAAGGAGAGCACCCTGAGTCCCTCTAGGTGCAGCTGTGCCTCATGTGGAAGTTGACCACGTACTCGGCGTTGGTGCGCTGCACCGAGATGGCGAAGGGCTCGAAGGGGTGGAAGGTGAAGGCCACCAGGCGCCGCACCGTGTGATTGATGGGGCGCCCCAGCAGCCCCGCCTGGATCTCGAACTTCAGCAGGCCGGAGTCACGGGCGTAAAATCTGAAAGGAAGAGAAAGTCAATTATGGCAGTTCCCCGCTATTGGCTTTGCCATCTGGGCTCTTTGCACACAGAAACAAGCGCCTCGTTGGAGCGCTGGTGCTCCCTGAGGAGCAGAAGGTCTTTAGCTGGGTGCCTGGCTCTTGGCTTCGCAGGGAAGTCCCTCTCAGGGCAGTTGTTTTCCACTGTCTAGAAAAACATCATTTTATTTTATTATTAGCAATGAGAGAACTCTGCCTGTCACTTTGGTGGACAAAGCTGACTTCATAACAGGGAGTCAGTTTGGTTCAGGCCCCACCTGTGCTCGCTCTCCAACCTCTCTTAATGCAAGCTGTTCCCTTGATCCCCAAGGCAGATATACTGTACAGAACTGAGCTCCCTTCCCTTAGCAATGCCCTTCAGAGTGTTAGGCCACCCTTTCCTCCCCGTGGTACTGCCAGAGAAGGCTTTACACTGCTGTCCTTGTGCCTGTTCAGTGAAGGAAGTCGCTGCAATCCTGCTCGAGGGTGCCATGTTGTAGTGTACAGCTCAAGCAAGGTTTTGCAATTCCTTTTAGATTGCCACCAATACAGCATTAATGGGACAGGCTGTGCAGGAGGTACCTGATGAATCGGATTCAATAACCACTGCAAGGACAGAGGTCAAGGAAAACCTTATGACCTGCTGCTGTCACCCACACACCTGCCTGTGGGTCAAGCACATATGCTCTCCAGGTGAGCTCTGGAACACAGCTCCAGCACAGAGGGAACATTTTCAGGGGGATGAGACAAACAGCTCTGAAAAGACAGGTGAGTCCAGGGAAGCTCTTTGTTTCTTGACCCTCCCCTGCACAGTCTGTGTAACTGACATAAGCCCAGGTAACACCACTGTCCTCTGCTGCTGTCAGAACACAGGACTCTCTGTGGGGATCCAACCCTCCCCAAGACTTTGGAGAAGGCTTCTGGGATGTAGTGGTGGAGGTTTCTGGATGTGGTACCTTCACCAAGTAGCTGGGCTCTAACTCAAATCCTCCCCCTGAAGCTGTCTCTGTTTGTCAGACCATTTTCATTAGACCTCTTCCAACTTCAGGCACAGAATTGCCATTATGCCTCCCAGCTGTTTTCTTCTCCACCAACACTTAGTGCATGCGGGTATTTTGCATTTTCCTCCGATTTTAACTCCAAGAATGCTTTTAATGTCTGAGCACATCTCCCCCCCGCCAGCAACACGATGCACTCAGCTCTCAGCCTGGAAGAACGGATGATGACAGATACCAGCGATGCTGTTTCAGGAGCAGACATACTCCACATTTTAACAACACAGCCTATTGAGAACCTCATGTTCTTCCTGGAGGGCCACTCTCCTCTCCCTTCCTCTGAATCAAAGTGCCAGCCAGCCCTACCTGAAAATTGCACACAAGAACCCAGCAAGAGAGTCACAATCTTGGTATTTGGCTTTTCAAAAAGCCCTTTTCCTCCTACACAAGGCTGGGTATGCAGAGGGTCATTCTTTAAATAAAGCACAGTCCCCCATCTGTTCCTCTCTCCCCCAATTCACAACAATTTACTACTCAAGATGAAGCTCCCTGTAATCTTAAAAGATGTGCTCAGTTTGGTATTTTTAAATGTATTTTTAAAAGTGCTCTGCAATCAGAGGCCATTTCCATGGGCTCTCATTCTGGGGATAAATTAGGCACTGCAATATAAAATTGTATGTCAACAGAAACAGCAAGACCGGCCTTTTCAAACCGTAGGAAAATGGAAGATTTATCTGCAGACCAATTCTTTGGTTAAATGGCTCCTTATTAGCCATCTAGATGGATTTTAGAGACCCCCTGCTATAGGTAGAGCTGTGTTAGAGCCTCTTCCCTCAAGTGCCATCATTTCACCCATTGAATATCTCTTCAGGCCTCCTGAAAAGAGACTGGAAGGTGGTGGTCATGGGGAACCTAAAGTCCTTCCCACCTGACAGGAAACAACCACTGGTCCCTTAAGCAGGCAGAACTGAACCTTCTGGGATGCAGACAAGCACTAAGGGTTAAAAGAACGCAGTGCACAGAAATATTGAATTGATGTGGAAAAGGTCTGGAAGCTTTCCTAGCTCACACATCGTGCCAGGAAACTGCACACAGATTATAACAACCTTAGCTACTGAAGGGTTTTCCATTCCAGACAATTACAGGACTTACATTACAAATCCTGTGGTCCCTCATTTCCAAGCCCTCTAACCCCAACAGGCAGCTGGCATTATTTTATTAATCCCTTTGTTTTGCAAGTGAGAACCACAGCAGCACTATTTCAGCTACTGAATGGTTAAGGTTAGCGCCTCATCTTCTGCTTACTTTCCAAAAAACCAGGAGCCCCACTGCTCCGAGGCTCTATTCAAGTCCTAATTGACTCTGCACAGCTTTGAGCTTTAAAAGCTCTGGCTCTGAAACGCTGGTTTGCTCAGGGGAGGGAGGGAAGGTGGCACTTGGCTTTGTTTACTACAAAGACTCCACCGCAGCACATGACTGCGGTTCTGCTGCCTTTTGTCCGCGGGAGCCCGGCGCAGGTTGGCGCTGGCAGACAACTGCCACCCTGCAAGTTTTCCCAACATCAAGCATGACAAGGGGGAAAAGGGCAGGCTTTCTTTGCAGATAACATGGAAGCTGGAGATCAAACCAAATCATACAGGCAGAAGAATCAATTAAATATACATAATTTGGGAATTGAGAGCGCAGAAATAATCAGAAGTTCCCCGCCACCTGAGTCAGGGCCAGGGGAGATATGAAACCACTTTTTGAGCATGCATTGATGAAAATAAAGTTGGGAAGCAGTCCAGAATGATCTCCCTAGGCTGCCTGAGCCCCCAACATGTGTGCAGTCACTAAACAAAGCACTCAGGCACTGAAGGCTCTCTTTGTTTTCAGAGCATAGATTTGCTTCTGCAGTACTAGGAGCAGAAATACTATTCTGCCTGGGTAACTCAGGCTCTTTGAGCCTGTCAAGCTGGAGACGTTGGATTTTTAACCACTACCTCTTGCAGCCATGGCTGCAGCCAACAAAAAGAAATAAATAGTCCTGATATTTCTTTAAGAAGCATTGCAAACCTCCTTATTCTCAAGCTCAGACTTACTCCCTCTGCCAGCATTGGAGACTCAGACAGAAGAGGCACAGAATGGCCCTGGCACCTGGCTAAAATTCCTACTACAGACAGAAATTTCCTACAGATCACAGAGAGAAGGGAGTATGACAAGGAGTACAGCTCCCATGGTGAGAACAGTAAACAAGGGAAGTCTGAAAACAGCTCAATCAATACCACAGGCTTTCTGAGTAACACCTAGCCCAGATACTATTTTATTCACAGGACAAACCAGACAATCCTTGCCAACTAAACCCACATGCTCAGAGAGGATCTTTCCAGCACAGGAAAGCAGACATCAGAGCTGTATCACTCTGCAACCCAAACACAACGGCAGCACTGCAAGAAGAGGAGGAGGAACAAGACCATTCATATGGAAAAGGCTGAGACTTCACCACCCAAACCCTCCCCAGAGCAGAGCAGCTCAGCAAGGAAACATGAAGAGCCCTCCCACACATCCACATTACTGTAAAAGGAGAGAGGCCAAGTTTTGTGAAACAAATCCCCTGGTGAAAGGATTTCCTAAGAGAAAGGCTTCCATCTACTCCCTATTCTGCACACTTGATGCCACATGGCAGAGGTGATTTACAGCGACTCTCTCCTCACATACAGCTGCCCATACCTTATGGGGTGATCACCACAGGTCTTGGGCCGCTCCATGACTGACACCCACTTGTCATCATAGCTGAAGAGGGACAGGTCGAGGTAGGGGCTGCCGCTGTAGGACTGGGCGCTGATGGGGAGCTGCCCCAGCAGGCGCCGCACGGCCTCCGTGTGCCCTCCATACTTGGCGTTCACAATCGTGTCCTTGAACCTGCAGCAAAGCAAGAGACACCTCCTGTTCACAAAGGCCACAGCTGAACAGCACATCTTAAACAAACCAAGCAGGAAAACTGACAGGGAGAGAAAAGAGCTGCGGTGTAAGAACTATAGAGGGTCATTTCCAAAGATGTATCACAGTGATTCAAACATCAACCAGTTCTGCTAACCTTTTCATCCTCCCTTATCATTACTGTCTCACTCACAATGTCCAGAGTGACAGAAGGAGAAGAATGTGCCTACCCACAACGTCTGGACCCAGCTGCTCTGCAGTACAGGAAATGAACAGGATCAGAAACAGGGAGAGATGGATTAGCAGCTGATCAGTCAATCCAAGTTTTACCACAAAGCCTGGAAACAGCATGAGCAAAAGCCAAGGGGCTTTCACAGTAACAGTTGAGCCCTTAATGTTTACTTGACAATCCTCCTCTCTCCACCCATTGTTTTAAATGCATAAAGGGAGAAACCTTAGATGAAGAAGAACCTTGATGAGGTTCTTCCTGGTTGAGAAAGTTCTTCCTGGTGGAGAAATTAACACAGGCCGGATTTCTCTTTCCAAGAAAAATTTGAAACTTTACATGTGCATAAACAGTCAGATCATCTGCAGGGACAATAAGGAGGGTAAACACTCAGCCAGAAGCCAGCTCACTGTGGACTATGCTCTATGGTACTTTGCTGTAGAAGCTACAACACTCCTGTTACAGGCCCTTGTAGCAAGGGGAGGAAAATACTCTCCTATCTACTCTAACAAAAGGCTGAAGTTGTTCTTCGTGAGTCTTCAGTGAGTCCTCTCATTCTCTCTCCCATTAAACATTATGGATTTCCTGACAAGTTACTCTAGAAAGTTACAGACATAGTCAATTTCGTCAGACTTATGTGACATCAGCCTAAAGTCAACAGAAGCTTGATGCCCATAAGTGGATGGCAAGTACTTTGGATGATGAGAAACAAGTCACTGGAAGAAAAAAACACCTGAGTCACAACAAAATTTTCCTAGAGAAGTAACACACTCTGCCTCATTAAAACCACATCTGACTGTTAAGGCATATTCTAGAAACCCAGGTTATTTTGGTATTTTGTACAGCTTTCACAACAGATCTAAGCAGATGAGTTTCCCTTCTCCTAGTACAGTGATGATAACCATGAGCTGGTGACTGATGTTGAGGAAATGCTACAGAACACAGTTTGGTACATGCTAAATTCAGAGAATGTCACTTGGCAAAATACACACAACTGGATCATGCCAGCATCTTGACAAATCCTATCTTCAGGGACCAAAGTTACTGGGCAGTAACACTTTAATAACCTCCAAAAGAGTTTCTGCTCAAGGAGAGACAGAAACATCTTTCTCTCAAAATTCCCTTCCTTTCTTCTAAGCAGCAGTTTGCAACTGCTTTGCTTCTTCCCCTAACAAGGTAAATGCTGTGGAATATAAAATCAGATTCATCAGGCTGCAAGAATGAACCATGTATAGTCCACCTGGCAAAGGGGGCCAAAGGAACTGGTTTTCTCAGGTTGGTATTTGATACTGGCCTTCAGCAGACGGGGCTGAGCGAGTGTCTATACGGAATAAAGCATGCTCCGAATGGCTCACCGGCGCTGGATCTGCCTCGCAAAGTTGTTGCTGGAAGCTGAGCAGGGGAACTGGACAGCCTCACTGTGTAGGGTGGCATTCCTGAAGAGGTCACAGAAGTTCTCAAACAGCTCCAGCAGCTCATCAGATGTGTTCTCAAACACGGCAATGACCTCCGTGGTCACCATGTTGTACACGACGAAGAACGAGGGCTGGGAGAGAGGCAGAGGTTACCCAGGAGAGCACAGCTGTCCCTTCCTTCTCCCCACATCACACCACAGACCCCATCCAAATTTCTCCACAGCACAGGAGAATCCTACATCCTCACACTAATCTGTTCTCCTATTGGAATGTCTCAACATGTACCCAATTATCCACCTCTCAGCTGTGATTATTTAAGAAAACTTAATGGGCTTCCAATTCTTAAACTTGAACTAGATGAAACCATACTGTTTTCTCTTCTTCTCTGTCCTCCACCAAACCCAAAACACTTACTCAAGTGCCAAATTTAATCTTCATTCCTGCTGAAAAAATTACTTCAGATCCAATGCTAGCTGACCTCAAATTATTTTTACCTCTGCATAGATATATTAGTTTCTTCCCCTTCTTAATATCTGCATCACACAGAGATGAGCCTTTTTATCTACTGTGCACTACATCACTGCCCACAAAAAGCTCTGCCCTCCAGGTACCCTGCCAACACAGAAATGAAAATCTGAAAGATATTGATGACTTCTTAATGCTGACATTCTCCTGCAAGATGGCCCTTGTACCATGCTGTGGACTGGCAATGAATCCTGGCACGAATGAGCAAGAAATTGGGAAAAAAGGTGACAATGTGTCAGCACAGCTACAGCAAAGGGAGATGACATTCCCATCCCATTGGGAAAGGGCATATTTAATTCTTGGTCATTAAAAGTAGCTTTCATTAGAGACAGAAGTGCTGGCACCCCAAAGTAAGAACCTGTCCCCACTTCAAAGGGAGCTAATTCCCATAGCATCTGATAAAATCTTCTGTCAATAGAGGTAATTCCTAAATGCTTCACCTCCTGCTCCCAAATGCTCAGGGATGATGGCAGGCACTCTGCCCACCCCACCCACCTGCAAATATCACAAGGTTTGTTTGTTTTACAGCCCCAAAATAAACTATGATAATACAATCCAGCCCCCACATGTCCAAACGAAACACACAGGATGAGGTTACTCACTAGACTACTGCCTGAGGAAAGGGAAGCCCTTCTGAAATAAAGGGTTGGAGCAGAGAGAAAATAAGAGAAGACAGCAGAAGGAAAAACTATTTTAATCACTAAAGACTGCAGAGAGTATCCTCCAACTTTTTTATTTAAAGTTTCTTTGCCAGGTTAACATAGAGACACATCTACAGGATGTCCCTGAGCAGGGAAACCCTCACTGCTTTTGCAGCACCTGTAACACCACCAAAACATCTTCATGGGAGGCAGCAGCTGAGTGCCACATAAACCACACAGCAATGCTGACAAGCCTACAACAGCAACACACCCCCAAGCTACCTATGCAGAGCACACTCTTAAAGACCTCAAAGGACAGTGCAGACCCAAACAAAAACCACACAACCCACAACCATGAACAGCAACTCCTCAACCTTCTTGGCAGAGAAGCCAGAGGGGAGAAAGAATCCTGAAATTGGATGAAACCTTGTGCTCCTTGTCTGACAGACTGAAAAGAAATGGGAGCTGTAGTTATTTTGTGAGCCAAGTTTTACTCAGAAAGCCCTAACACAATGCCCACCTTCAGACAGGTCTGTGGAGACTGCTCCACATCTGGAATTATCTCTGGAAGAAGTGAGAAATGAGGCACTTTTCTTCCCCCAGCATAAAACCCAGCGCCAGAGGCACACTGCAAACAAACCACAAACTGCATCTTAAAGTAACCCTGGGGTGAAGAGAGTGGAGAGCTCCTTGCAGCAAACCAGGCAATAAACTCTACTAACCACAGCAGAGTGCAGAGCTGAGCCAGCCACAAACATTTACATCATGGCCAGGAGCTCATTCCAGACACCAGCAACGAGCAGAACCCTTCAGGGCACTTCCACAGAGCCTTCATATTTCTGAGACAGACATTCAGCTTTACACCAATGGGCAACATGGATTAGATAAAGCCTTACCTATTTCCTCCTAAAGCAACTCCCCCAAACAAACACCACAGAAAAGGAAAATAAAACAAAACAAAACAGAGACATCTCCCAGGAATAACCAGACAGAGGCAACACACGAAGAGCTACTGTTTATTTCTTCTAGGACCTAATTCCTGGCAAAGATGTGGGGAAGAGAAATGCATGAGAGAAAACAAACCTCTGGGGAACAATCAGACCTACATGCTGCATTGGAGATTTATCACAAATTCTTGCTAAATACTTTCAACAGAATAAAACCAAGCTGATTAAAGGAATAAAAATTAGCTAAAAAAATCCCTTAGTTTCACAGGGCTCAAAACGTGACCAACCACTCTAAAAGCAGTAAAAAGAGATGATTAACATGCAGGGTTGTGAAACATCTGGAGGGACCCAGCACTGACTGAGCTACATTTGCTCTAATTCCACTTCTTTAGTAATAAATTGAAAAGAGAAGCAATTGGCCCATTAGCCTGATCTAAAAGCTGCTACTCTAATTTGGAGAGATCATAAATACTACCTCTTACTGGAGCTTGAAAGACTAAGTACGTGGGCAGAACAGAAATGGTAATTGTACCAGGGAAAATGAAGACTATTATATTTGAAAAACATGCTTGAAGATACATGAGAAAAAGGAGAGACTACCTCTACAATTTAAATGGAGTATATAAAATATCAGCTAAAATTAAATTCATTTGGGGATTTGGGGAAGGGAAGAGGATTGAGCATCTGTGAGCATGGGGAACAATCCTTGGAGAAAGGAACTTGCTAACACATCAGATCTTTCTCATTTTGCAGGTGAGAAGGAAGGAAGCAATGAAATTAAGAAAACAGAAGATACAGAAGTTATTCAATATCAGAGGCATCAAAAAAGACTCAGGTACTAGGGATCCTAAATAACCTTTGCAGGCTCATTAAGGAACAGCTCACAGCATTGTAATGCTTGAGCACTTGTCCCAAAGCAATGAGCAGCCTGAAGAGGGAGGCAGAAATTAAGAAAACAGAAGATAGAGAAGTTATTCAATATCAGAGGCATCAAAAAAGACTCAAAAAGGTACTAGGGATCCTAAACAACCTTTAGAGGCTCATTAAGGAACTGTTCACAGCATTGTAATACTTGAACACTTGTCCCAAAACAATGAGCAGCCTGAAGAGGGAGGCAGTATCTGAGCCACCTGGTCTAGTGGACTCCTAGCAAGGCAGTAGGAATTAGATGGTGTTTAAGGCCCCTTCCAACCCCAAACCATTGTGTGATTCTGTACCTGGGAAGGATCTGTCACCCGCAGCGTGACCACGTCCTCACTGGTGTATTTGATAAACAGATGGTTCTCATCCAAGAGCTGCATCTTCCACATGCGGAGCTGCCTCAGCTGGTCAAAGTACTGGAAGAACCTTCTCTTGGCTATAGCACTCCCATCCTGCTCAGCCCTTCTCCACAGGTACACCAGCAGCCTGTGCTTCAGGGAGTTGATGAAGGGCTCCTTGTAGGGGTTGGCCATTCCCGTCTGCGTGTCCCGCTGCACCTCGGGGTACACGGCCGACAGGGTCAGCAGATCGTCCTCGTAGCAGAAGCGGCCGATGGTCCTCACGTCGATGAACGTCCCCTCGGGCGTCACCTGGAAGACGTGGATGGTCTGCTGCTGCACGGAGAGGATGGCCAGGATGTTCTTGTACAGGTACAGCCCCTGGTTGTGCGACAGGATGACCTTGTCGCACTTGAAGGCGCGCGTGTCGCACAGCCGGCCCGTGTGCAGGTCGATGATGTGCAGGGAGTAGTCCTCGAGCGGGGAGCGCGGGTTGGGCGTCACGGACTCGCTGTTGCGGTACACCTCGAAGAAGGGCGGGTGCGGCTCCTCAGGCAGGTAGGCGGCCGAGCCCACGATCACGTAGCGGCAGTCGTCCGTGAACAGGCTGCACTCGCGGTTCAGGTGCTCCCCGTTGGAGGCCACGTTGGTGATGTGCAGCAGCACGAAGAAGCGCTCGAAGAGCCGCCCGCGGATGTTGACGGACCTCTGGTCGTTGCCGTTGGCCAGGATCTCCCCCTCGTAGCCCTGCAGCAGGTCCTCGGCCGCCTGGCAGCCCTGGTACTCGTAGATCTCCAGCGAGGTCTGGTCCGAGGAGAAGGCGATGAAGTAGCGGCCGTCGGGGGAGAACTTGCGCAGGAAGCAGGGCGGCTTCTCCACGTTGACCACGGTGAAGTTGGGGAAGACGTTCTGGTGGAAGACGCGCACCTGGTGCCAGTGGGTGCCCGCCTTGCCCGAGCTGATGCGGCGCCGCTCCAGGCGGTGGATGACGTTCTGGTTCTGGATGCGCCGGGGCCTGATGGTGGGCGCCTCATGGTCCATGGTCAGAGCTCTACTTCATCTTCATCTTCATCTTCATCCTGCGGGGACAGCACACGTGCCCTGGGACCGGCATGGAATTCAGGGAACAGGGAACCCATGGACCCACAGCGCCCAGCAGAGGGGTTTGGCTAAAAGGGACGCGGGGGGGAAGGAATAGCACGGGAGGGACACGGGGCAGGGACTGGGAGAAAGACCAGGAAAACGAGGGCAGTCCAAAGATGCCTCCAGGGCAGTCCTGCCTGCTAAACAGAGACACAGCGGGGAACCATGGGGCGAAGGAAGGAGCCAGGAAAAGGTACAGGCACGGCTGGACACCACGGGAATAAAGGGAGCCTCCATACACCCAGGAAGCCAGGGATAATTGCAGACATGACAAGCAGCAGGCACAGGGCACAGCTTGGGAAGAACGGAGGAAGCTGGGGGCGAAGGGGCACAGGAAGGATCACCCGCGATGTGTCCGGGCCCACCTGCCGAGAGGGAAGCGAGGAGCTCCGGTCCCCCGGGCTGAGGAGAGACTGAGCTCCAGGGAAGCCCGGGGGCAGCTGAGGGCCCTCCCGCCAGGGGTACTGGGGATCTCCCGCCGGCCCGAGGGGTAAAGGGACACGGGGGACTGGGGGCCGCGGTGGTCTCTGTGCCGGTATGGGACCGGGGAGAGGTGTGGGCCGCGCTCACCGCTGGGGCCACGCCGGGTCCCGCTCAAGCCATGGCCGCCGCCATCTTTCCGCCACGGCACAGCGGCGGGGGGGCGGCAGCGCACTTCCGCTTCCGACCCCCGCACCAGAGAGATGGGGCCTGCCGGGCCAGAGTGCCGCGAGCGGCCTGGAGCGCCCCCTGGCGGCGGGGAGGACCCTGCACCGGGCACCCGCCGCCTATCCTGAGCCACAGCGCCCTTAAACCCATCCTGCATCCATCCTGACCCCTCTGCACTCCAAAACCCATCCTGCACCCACCCTGACCCCTCTGCACCCCAAAACCCATCCTGAACCCCAAAACCCATCCTGCATCCACCCTGAGCCACAGCATCTCAAAACCCATCCTGGACCACAGCACCCCAAAACCCATCCTGCACCCATCCTGAACCCATCCTGAACCCCCAGCACCCACCCTCCCACCCCAGCACCTCAGAACCCATCCTGCACCTACCCTGTACCCCAGCACCCCTCCTGAATCCCCAGCATCCATTTTGCACCCCAGAACCCATCCTGCATCCCTCCTGAGCCCCAGCACCCGCCCTGATCCCTCTGCACCCCAGAACCCATCCTGCCTCCCCTGCACCCACACTGCACCCCCTGCACCTCCAGCACTGCCTTCACCCATCCTGCACCCACCGTGCCCCCTCTGCTGCCATCCTGTACTCCCCTAGACCCATCCTGCACCCTCCTCCAGCCCAGCCACCTCATCCCAGCACTCTGCAAACCCCATCCAACCATCCCCAAGTCCCCTACATTGCCCTTCACCTCTCCGTGCCCCTGAACCCCTCCATGCCTGGAGCATCTCCTCCATCCCCAGGAAGTGTCTGGCACAGCCCCACCACTCCCAGCATGGGGACACCACAGGGGACACCACCACACCTCCCTCCAGCATTTTGGGGTACACCCCAACAGCGACAGCAGAGCCTGGGGTCACCCCCGGGCACCTCTCAGGCCTCCCCAAGGGTTTGAAAGCTTTTGCCCGCCTTGGCTTTTAGCAGCACCCCTCCGCCCCGTGCATTAGCGCCGAGGGCAGCTCTGAGGGGCTCTTCTCCTTCAAAGGCAGGCAAGCAGGAATGTCAGGCGGCCCTTGAGATCCATTTGCCGGCCTCTCGCCGGGGCTGAGCCCACGCAGGGCTCTCGGAGCCACTCCAGAGGCCGACGTGGGAGCAGGAGCTGGAGAGGGGCAGGGTGCTCGGACCAGGGTGCTGGGGAGCCTGGGGGGGATCCCATCCCTGCATCCCAGGGATGTGCTCCCTCTGCTGTGGGGCAGCTGGACCCACAGGGGCTGAGGAGCCCAGGAAAATTCCAACCCTGCATCCCAGGGCTGTGCTCCCTCTGCTCTGGGGTGGGTGGACCCACGGATGCTGGGGAGCCCAGGGGATCCTGTTCGGGAAGATGAAACAGGAAATCCTTATAAATATGATTGTCTGGGAAAAGATTTTGAGAATTTAGAAACTATAGGCGACATCGAAATGAAAGCAAGCTTTGAGATACCTCAGTTTCTGAACAATGGGAAAACAATGGTGTGGCCGCTGAAGGTAATCTCCTTTTGATGGAACAACACCCTCTGCTTGCAGACAGGTCCAAGGGCAGAGCAGACCCTGCCAGCTTGGCAGAAGGGGCCCAAAGAGGAGTTTTTAGGGTTTAAGATGTAACACAGTATGGTAATGTAGTGATTCTTATAGGCTCTATGGAAATGCTATAGGATTTGTATATTGTACTGGATTGGTTAGTGAGAATCAGAATATTCAGCACAGAAGGAGATTTATTGTATTGTAATGGGAACTTCGTTCTCTTACCATTTTACTCTCTTACTCTCTTACCCTCTCATCTTCTCTACCCCTCTCCTCTTGGGCCTGCTCTGAGCTGTGGCTGCAGCTCCCAGCAGGGCCCTGCACCCAGGCCCTTTGCAATAAACCCCAAATCCCAGCAGGGCCTGCACCCAGGCCCTTTGCAATAAACCCCAAATCCCAGCAGGGCCCTGCACCCAGACCCTTTGCAATGAACCCCAAATCCCAGCAGGGCCCTGCACCCAGGCCCTTTGCAATGAACCCCAAATCCCAGCAGGGCCCTGCACCCAGGCCCTTTGCAATAAACCTCAAATCCCAGCAGGGCCTGCACCCAGGCCCTTTGCAATAAACCCCAAATTCCACGACCCGGCTTCAGAGATCTCTGATCTCCATCCTACCCCCCTATGCTCCTACAGGATGCCATCCCTGCATCCTGTGGCTGTGCTCCCTCCCAGGGCTGTGACAGCAGCACCCAGCCAGTGTCACCTGCATGGAAGGAGAATGCCCGTGCTGGGCAGAGCTCACACCGCTGGACCCCCGTGTGTTTATGGGATGCTGCAGGGTCTCAGCAGCGCTGGGACACAGCCAGACCCCACCACCCCACTGGATAAGAGCTGAGTGGCTCCAGCTGCCTTCCTGTGGGATGTCAGCCTGCCTGGCACCCCTGAGCAGGGAGGTGACCCCAGTGTCCCCCCAGCTAGCTGCCCCATTCCCATCTCTCAGCACTTTGGTGCCCAGCAGCCTCACCCGTCCCTGCCCGCTGTCCCTGTCCCTGCCGGGGGCACAGGGCGCGATGACAAGGCTACAACGAATGGCCCTGGCCTCCCTCTTTGTCTCTCTGCCTCCTGCCTAATTAATTGAGATCCACCGTAATAGGATCAAGCTAAATACCGGAGAACATCCGAGCACACAGCAGCTGGCAGGAAAACAGGAAAACCGAAGGGCAGCTCCGCAGCTCCTGGCTGGACAAAAGAGCCGCTAATGCAGCAGCGATTGGTGCTCCCAGAGCTGAGAACTTCATCCCACAGCCTGCTCACAGCTCAGCCCCCTCTGTGCTCTGGGAAGGGGTTGGAAGCCTTCGATGGGCCGGTTCCAGCCAGTGGTAGGGATGGGAATCTTGTGCAATAAATCCCAGTGCAAGCACAAGGATGGGGACAAAGTTAGTCCTGGTTTATCTCAGTCTCAGGTAGGCGGGAGGTGGGGTCAGACCCCCAGCCAGGGGGTTGCTGAGGGCTCAGGACTCCTGGGACATTTCCCACCTCCCACAGCATTTTGTGGGACCTTTTGGGCTCCAGCAATAGGGGTCACACAGCTGTCCCCATCCGCCTGTGCTGGCACACAGGTGGGGTGTCCCTTTGCACATCCCCAGCCAGAGGAACAGCCCAACGCCCAGAGCTCTGATCCTGGAGCTGGTGTGGATGCTCCTGGGCCATTGAGGGTCCCTGGCTACAGGCGGCTGGCCCAGGGCTCCTCCAGCCTTGCAGGGCCACTCTGGGTCCTTGGCTTTGGATGTCACTGTGCTGCTTTTGGGGAAAGTCCCTTCAGCAGTGTGCCAAGGAAAGAGATGCTCCGTGCCTTTATGGCATCACCAGCACCCTGCCAGTGCCACATCCACCCCCAGCTGGTTTATCCAGAGCCAGCAAATGGGTTAAAAATTAAACAAAAAAAAAAAAAAAGAAAATAATATAATGCAGCTCATTTGGACTGGTTTGGATGTGTTTTTTCCTGTTCCTCAAGCAAGGACCCTTCTGCTGTTGTTGCTTTGGCTGTTTCTCAAGAGCTTCCCATCCCTGGATCCCGTGGCTGCTTTCCCAGGACTGGAGAGGGCGTGTGAGGAGAACAGCTCTGGGCAGGTCACAGGGGTGGCTGCTCCCATCCTGGCTGCCCCCAGCCAGATACAACCCCCAGCACTAAATCCCTAGGGGAAAACTTGGACCATCTCCTCACAGGGATGCTTGTGGAGAGAAAAAAACCCCCAGGTCCTGTGCCAAGCCCCTCTCATGGCCACTGGGCTTGGGGGCTTCAACTCCTTCATCGAGCTGAGGGCAGGGGAAAAGAAAATTACCCCTATTTTTTTTTATTTTTCTTAATAGGTAAAATAAGAGGGTGAAGTTTGCACAGGGTCCTGGTGTGGGGAAGCAATGCTGCAGCCCTGAGGTGCTCCCCAAAGCCCAGGGTGTGCAGGGATTAGTGAGGCTGTTCTGTAGGAGCTGGCTGCTTCCATGGGGTTCCTTTTTAGGGTGAAGCATCCTAAAGATCATCACAGAAACTTGTTGGTGTGAGAAAAGACCAAAGGAAGCAGAGGGAGTCCTTGGGTGTATCTTGTCTCTCCAAAAAGCCAAGGGTGTAATGAAATATTTTATTCTTCCCCAAGCCTGAGGAGTGACTTTATTCACATTTGCAGAGTTTGGGGCTCCCATTGCAGGGGGATTCATGTTCACATTCACACATTATCATAGAGGGGTGAACAGGTCCTATTGAGCACAGCCAGGCCCCCTCTCCCCATGCTGGGCAGGTCTCTTTGGGATGAGGCTCCATCAAAGCCAAGTTTGCAGGATGCAGCACTGGTGGATCTTCACAGCTCTGAGGAAATCTTTATTTGTCACCAAAACATCCCTTGCTCTGGTTTTAACTGGTGCCAGGGGCTCATTTTGGAGTGGAACTTGGCAAATTTTAGAGGCTGTTGATGGAATCACCACCACTGTCCCCTGTGCCATACCTGGGGGTGACAGCCCCATGTCCCCCATGCCACCGTGGGGTGACAACGCTGTCCCCTACAACACACCCCGCACAGGGTGATGGCTCTGCCCACCCCCGTGCCACCTCTGAGGGTGACAGCCCCGTGTCCCCCTTGCCATCCGTGGGGGTGACTGCCCTGTGTCCTCCCCATGGGGGTGACAGCCCCGTGCCAACGGTGCCATCCCTAGGGTGACAGCCCTGTGTCCCCCGTGCCATCCATGGCGTGACTATGTCCTTGTGCCATCCCTGGGGTGACAGCCCCGTGTCCCCCGTGCCGCCCGTGGGGGGCAGCCCGGCAGCTCCTCCCGGCTGATGCGCAGTGACATTTGCAATCTGTTGCCATGGGCGCTCGGGGACTTTTGCTGTGGAGGGGGATCGCGTTTCTCCCCCCTCCTCCTCCTCCTCCCCTTCCCTCCCTCCCGATGACGTCATGGATGACCACGGTGGTGACAGGGCCACCTGTGGGCTGATGAGGGGTTTAAAGAGACAGTCTGCAG